ATCTTTCTTCTTGACAAATAAAACTGCAGCTCCCCAAGGAGACACACTAGGTTGAATAAACCCCCGATCCAGCAATAACTGTTCTTTCAATTTCTTCAGTTCAGCTTGTGCCATTCGATACGGAGTAATAAATATAAGTGTAGTTCCAGCCTTGAACTCAATAACAAACTCAATCTCCCTATCGGGCTGTAATCTTGGTAACTCATATGGAAACACATCCAAAGATTCACAAATTACCAGAAAGTCAAATATTTTTACTTCACCTTTACTGGTGTCTCTCACATATGCTAACTACCCCTGACAACCTTTCCTAAGCAATTTTTGAGACTTAATTGCAAAAATTAAGCAATTAGGTGTCACCTTCCGGTCACCTTGAAATTTGAATTCTGACTCACCTGGTATTAGAAAACCAACTTATTTTCTAAAACAATCCACAAATGCGTGATAAGCAGATAACCAATTTATCCCCAGTATTACATCAAAATCCTAAATATCTAAAGGAACCAAATCAGCCAATAACTCCTGTGTATTCAAATTTACCACACAACTCTTGTAAATGCTACCCGCAAATACTACATCAACCACTGGTGTAGAGATATCCAAACAATGGTCTAATGGTGTAGAAGGTTGGTCCCAATGCATGTTAAATGGACATGCAACAAATGAATACATGGTCCTAGGGTCAATAAGAGTACGTGTATTCTTACCAAAAATAGGAATCATACATGTTATCACATTAAGAGAAGCTTGTGCATCTTGCTGTGTTATAGCAAATACTCGCCCCTGAGCTCCTAATGTACTAGTAGATCCCGTTCCTCCTTTCTGTGCACTTCTGTGTATATCTCTACCACCAAGAGTCACACTACCCATCAATGATGCTCCAGCAGACCTACATGGACAAACACGCATCATATGTTATGTCTGCCCACAACTATAGCACCGTTGTTCCCCACCTGACACACAATCTCGAGCCATATGCCCTTCCATTCCACACTTAAATCAAGTAACACCCATTGCTTGGCTCCTAGCTATTCCTCTACCCGGTTCTCCCGCAAAGAATCTAGAAAAACTTTGTCCCCATGAGCTAGCTGAGGCTTTACCATAACTTGCACCTCTAGCCTGAGAGAATTATTATCCCTACTTCTTGGATCCCAATATTTGACCCACAGATTGGAATTCCCTAGCTAATACACTATCGAACCTTCCTTTCCTAAATTGTTCTTGTTGCCCTGCTGACTCTTGAACATCTCTTTCGACCACCAAAGCTTTATTCACCAAAGTTGAACAACTTGTTAATTCAGAAGCTGACAAATGAGTCTGAATCGGGTAATCCAATCCCCATTAAAACTTCTTACACCTTGCCTTATCAATCTGGAAAAAATCTATAGCAATTGAGACAATATAGTAAATTGCTTCTCTTACTCCGACACCGACATCTTTCCCTGAGTTAGTATCATGAAAGCCAGCTCCTATCCATAGCGATATGACTCTAGAAAATACTTGGCATTAAACTCTCTAATGAATTAATCACATGTAACTCTCATTCGTACTTGAGCTCCTTCACCTACAATCGGAGCATTCAATAACCGCTTTGTGGCTTCCCAACAAAATCGTGCCCTCTGTCAACATAAAAGTTGCTAAGACAATCTATTTTTTATCATTAGGCCCAATTACCTCAAAGATAGTTTCCATCCATTTCAACCAGTCCTCAGCTTTTAGAGGGTTAATTATTCCTACAAATGTTGGAGGATTCAATGTCATAAACCTCTCATGTATAGCACTGCATGGCTCCCCAAGTGGCATTGGTAGAGCTACCTATGTTGTCGCTTGTACCTCTATTTGCAACTTCACTAATCGATTTTTCATTACAGCNAAACCTCTCATGTATAGCACTGCATGGCTCCCCAAGTGGCATTGGTAGAGCTACCTGTGTTGTCGCTTGTACCTCTATTTGCAACTTCACTAATCGATTTTTCATTACAGCCATCTGTGCCACCATCTCAAATGCCCTCTGTACCATATCTGGCTGATTCTGTTACCTTTCTCTACCTTCCTATTGTTGCTTCTCACCTCCCTCGACCATAACAGGAGCATGAGACCCCTCTTCTTTTATTAGGTCATAAACCACTTGTGGATTCATTATTACTTAACTGTAACACTATAATGTACATATCTAAGCATATGTATTCATATGCATAAAAGTAACACAAACAAATTTGACTCATCCCAACACCCTAGACTGTCCACTGCTGACCTAGACTCATGTGTCTATAGAACCACTACAAGAAAAAGTGGTTTTTTGAGGCAGAGTATTTCTGATAGCATTGTTTGTGCCATCATAAATAGTTATTTTTTAAAATTATTTTTTACGGTAGCAATGAAGGCTACCTCAAGTGGTTTTTGAGGTGGAGTATTTCTGACAACATTGTTTTGCCATCATAAATAGTTATTTTTTTAATTCTTTTTACGGTAGCAACGAAGGCTGCCTCAATTATAGAGTTTTCCCACAATGGCTATCTCAAATATAGAGTTTTTCCACCACATGGTTGCAAAAAAAATCCCTCCATGGCTATTTTTGGTGCCAATAGGCACGTACTTTTTGGTGAGGAACATAATCATCACTAATTAAATAATATTTCATTTATTGATGGATGTAAGAGAGGTGTTATTCGACGACAATATTAATTCGTCACCAAAGAATAAATTTTTTGTGGCGACTATAGTTTTTTATTGCTAATAAAATTTTTAATTTTAATTTATTTTGTAAAGAGAAATAATTTGGCAACGAATATTCGTAATCGTCAAAAATAATAAAAAGAAAATCGGTCTCCCGCTTTCCCTTTTTCTCTCCTCTTTTTTCCTTTATTTTTCTTCTCTTTTTTTGTTATCTTTTCCAGCCGCTAGCTAGTCTCTCTTTAGTTGTTCCAAATATATTTCTATTGCTAGAAGGCAATCTCTTGCTGTAGTGATTAGTTTTCCCATCAAACAGTGTCCTTTTAATCACCTAGGTTGCCCTATTATTAAGGGTAGAACTAGGTTTAGATATTTTGAGGAGGCAGTGTCTAAGTTCAAGTAAAAACTGAAGGGTTGGTATGCCAAGTTATTGTCTAATATGGTAAGAGTATTGTTGGCACAATTAGTGCAGTCCCTGTGCATTTATTAGCCTGTGTGAATTTACCAAGAGCAATTTACTCTAAGCTAAATTCAGTAATGGCAGGTTTTATCTGGTCCAATAAGTTGGACATTAGAAAGAGACATGGGGTCTCTTGGAATCAGATTTCTTTGCCTAAGCAGGAGCGGGGTCTGGGCATTAGGAAATTTGAAGAGGTATAGATGGCCTTCAGAATGAAGCAGGTGTAGGGTATTATGATGGGCTCTTCTTTATGGGCAAAGGATTATATTGCTAAGTTCTTAAAAGGCAAGCATGTGATAAGATGTGCAGAAAGGAGTAATTTCAAATGGTTAGAGATTTTGAGGCCTTATTTTAATAAGGTGGTTTGTCATTCAAAGGTTTTAGTAGGAAATGGGGAATTGACTGACTTTTGGTGTGATAGGTGGTTGGAGAATGGGCCTTTGATAGACAGAATTGAAGGATCTCCAGTATATTTTCCTAGACTTTTCAGAGTTGAATGTAGGATCTCAGTGGCAATTGGATGAGGTGGCAGGTTTTTTAAGTGTCCAGTTGAGAGAGGTGATAGTTGATTCTGGTTTGGTTTTATCTGGAAATTCTAATAGGCTTATATGGCAGGAGTCTAATTCTGGAGATTTTTCTGCTAAATCTGCTTGAAATGTGATGAGGCAGCAAGGGATTAGGAATGAACTGCTGTGGTTATCTGGGAGATGAGTATCGCTCCTAGTGCTCAGCTTGTGGGTTGGGGGTTATTGAGGGGTGCTTTGTCGTTGGATTCCAGTGTTCTGAGATTGGGAATACCCATTGTTAGCTGATGTTTTATGTGCTACCAGATTTATAAGTATGCGGTTCACTTGTTTATTGGCTGTCCTAATGCAAAGGCCATCTGGGGCAGGTTTGCTGCCTTGGTGGGTTTCATCTTGTTCAGGGTGAATATCCTTTGGTGAGAATGAGGAGGTTATGCAGACTGTTTAGAAGGGAATCTATTAGTCATGGCTTGGTGAGGAGTATTGCATTGCTGATGTTTTCGCAGATTTGGAAGGAGAGGTATAGGAGGAGGGCAGATGAGGGGAAGTTTCAATCCTGCTCTCTTTTGCTTAAAGTTTGTAGTATTTTAAGGTATCACCAACCATGTCCAATCCATCCCACAAAGCTCTAAACTCTGCATCCATGTTAGAGCATTCTCCATAAAAGAAAGATCTAGCCAGAATCAATCTGCCCCTGTCATCCCTTAATACAACACCACGTCCAGCAATCCCAGGATTCTTTTTAGAAGCACTCCAACAGGAGTAAAAACCCAATTCACCCAAAGAACTTTACTCACCACCTGAGAACACACCTTAATATCAAAAAAATTCAAGCAAAGCCTTCGCTTGCAAATCATCCTGCACCTTGGCTCTCAAATTCCTTATGCTCTCTCTTTGCTTACAAAATTCTGATTGAATCAGACTCTACGGGTTTGGTGAATGCTATCTTGGAGAAATTTGAGTGTGCCTGGAAATATTGGGGGTTGCTTTCTCATATTAAAAGGCTGCTATCTCATGTGGATTTTCAGTTGGTACATGTATTCAGGGAGGCAAATTGTGTTGCTGACAGTTTGGCCAATCAAGCTATCTTAGACAGAAANGAAACCCCGAGGACACGTGTCTTCATCATAGGGCTTTTCAGAAGAGTCCCATCAGTCTTGTTACAAGATCAAAGGCAGATTCCTGTGTTGAGGATTAAGAGAAGTGTTGTGCTNGGTTGCTTTCTCATATTAAAAGGCTGCTATCTCATGTGGATTTTCAGTTGGTACATGTATTCAGGGAGGCAAATTGTGTTGCTGACAGTTTGGCCAATCAAGCTATCTTAGACAGAAAGTCTTCTGATTTTTCTGTTCCTGGGCATTTGCCTAGTGCTGTTCAGATGGTCTTGTTACAAGATCAAAGGCAGATTCCTGTGTTGAGGATTAAGAGAAGTGTTGTGCTTGATGATACAGGGTAATTCCTCCAAGTCCATGGCAGTGTCTGCTGTTTCTATGAGCTACGATGTTGTGAAGGAAGCTTCCCTTCTTACGTCTCTGTTTCTGTGCAGCTCAATGTTGTTACAAGATCAATGCTGGTTTGTTCGATGCAGGGAAGATGATGAGAATCTGCGAAAGCTGCCAGTTCTAAGAATCTAAATTCTTTGATTTTTTTATTGTTTTTTGAGACTTTGGTTCAAATTTGTTGTAAAGGCAGTGATGTCTGCTTTTTCCTCCATTGTAATACTTCTTGAGAAATGAAATCTGAGTGTTGATTTGTTTGAAAAAAAAAAAAAAGAAGTTATCTCTCTTTAGGTTATTTTGCAAGCTAGTGGTCCTCTCCCACAAGGCTCCTGCAATTCGTCCCAAAGAAGATATTCTCTCTCTCTCTCTCTCCCTCATACAATAAATTAAAGCTATAAATTAAACCCTATACTGCTAACCCTCTTTTCTTTTCCGAGTGGTTAGTATTTCAAATAGTTGCATTAGAATTTTTTAATTTTTTTTGTTAGTTATGGACAATATTATATCCGTTATTTGAGAAGTCTATTTGAGCACAACTTATAATGGATTTTTCACACTATTTATCTCTAGTTAAGAAGATGAGTAATCATGATAATTTTATTTTTTAGTTTGAATTCAAAAACCGCCTAATTGAAAAGATGCAATTATGATAGTTTGTATTTATATGAAATCTAACGAGATATGTGGCAATGTGTTACTAATCGTTTGTTGTTTTTTTAATTCTAAACATTTAATTTAGTTTTTTAGGTGTTTTTTTATTTGAATAATATTTGAGCGATAATGAATAACATCGATTACGGTAAACAAGTGACGGGACACTGTCACAATGCGCACACACACTGTCACAACGCACAGAACTGCCAATGGGCGACATTGTCACAAATTCAAAAGACCCCATTCTGAAAAAGTCTCGACGANACACTGTCACAACGCACAGAACTGCCAATGGGCGACATTGTCACAAATTCAAAAGATCTCATTCTGAAAAAGTCTCGACAATCTGAGAAAGATTGAAGGTTATAGATGGTGTATTCATGCGTGTTCGAAATACAAATCATAGTATTCTTTCTTATCAAACTGGGAATAAGAAACAAGAGATACTTTTTTTCGAAATATGGACAACTGAAAGTTTAACTCCTAAAGAAGCACTTCATGAAGCATCCCGGAATTTGATTGATTTATTTATTCCCTTTTTACATACAGAAGAAGAAAAATTACATTTAGAGGACAATCAACCCTTCGTTTTTAAGCCAAAAAACAACGTTTAGATCNGAGCAACATTGTTCTAGAAACCCCGAGGACACGTGTCTTCATCATAGGGCTTTTCAGAAGAGTCCCATCAACTGCCCCCCAGCCTTCGATCTTCTGACGGCGAGGACACGCGTCGNAAAGTTTAACTCCTAAAGAAGCACTTCATGAAGCATCCCGGAATTTGATTGATTTATTTATTCCCTTTTTACATACAGAAGAAGAAAAATTACATTTAGAGGACAATCAACCCTTCGTTTTTAAGCCAAAAAACAACGTTTAGATCACCTTTTAAGAATTTTTCTATTTTATCCCACTGTTTGGGTATTTTTTGTAATATTGCTTATTTTCTCACACACTCTCTTTTACACACAAAAACACACACTGTCACAACATATCATACACACACACATAATTGGTCACATGCGCACACTATCCACGCTAATTTGTGATCAGAAAAAAATTGTTGTGTAATAATACAAATAATGACTTTACTCCAGCCACCAAATATTGTAATCATTATTTATGAATGGCATATTTTAAGAATTTTGTATGACTTGTATTTTACCTTTTAATGTTGCAGATTTTTTTTTTCCATTCCTTCGTTTCTTTGTTTGATTTTACTTTTTTTTTTTTGGTTNGAGGGGTGTTGGTCCCGAGTACAATGACTTATTTTGCCCTCGGGAATGGAGAACGACAAGTACGTCGGTTCCTTCGGGTTCTTTATTTGTTTCTTAGGGCNCTTTTTTTTTTTTGGTTTGTGTGAATGGGGGGTTATCAATGAACCATAGCTAGTAAGCATTTTCAATCGAAAAGCACAAGATTTTATTACAATTTTCAATGATAGATTTGCCCGTGCAATATTCAAGTGACTATTTGTCTTTTTACGAGTGACTCTTTGCTTCTTTGTGACATCTAGGTAGCTCTTTGTCAGTTTGTAACTTTTGCGCTAAATTTTTATTTATATTTTATTTCATAAAATTTTGAATTGATTAATCTCCTAATTGATTTTAGTTTATGCTAAGTTGAATGATTTCGTGTTCCTAGAAGTTGGGACCTATCATTCAAACTATGGGTTAAGTAATTCATTGGGTGACACAAGCTTGTGGATTTTGTTTTGTGCTGAAAGAGTAGCTTGAATGTGTGACGTGAATAACTATCAAGCTTGCGGGTTTTATTTTGATAGGATTCTAGTATTATTATATTTATACTAGTGTTTTTATCTTATTGCCTTTTAAAATAATGATTCTCATGAATTGAAGTGTTGTGCAATTGTAGAGGAAAGTTGAAACATGGACAAGAGTTGGATTGATTTGACAGATAGGGTCTCAAGGGAATACATGAATGGGGTTGATCAATTTTTTTATTTTGCATACACTAATATGGCAGCAGGTTCAACTATCAATTGCCAGACTTGGGTTAGCAACAGATAGATTCAACCCATTCAAGTCCATGAATATAGTTCATAGCACTTGGCCAATCATACCGATTCCTTACAATTTACCACCATGGTTGTGCATGAAGCAACCCTTTCTTATTCTTTCTTTGATTATAGATGAGTCTAAATGACCTGACAACAAAATCGATAAATATTTGCAACCATTGATTGAGGAGTTGAAGGAATTATGGGAGGAAGGTGTACATACATTTGATGCATTGAGCANATGAGTCTAAATGACCTGACAACAAAATCGATAAATATTTGCAACCATTGATTGAGTTGAAGGAATTATGGGAGGAAGGTTTACATACATTTGATGCATTGAGTAATCAAATGTTTCAAATGCATGCAGCTTTGAAATGGACAGTCACCTATTTCCCTACATATGCCAACTTGTTGGGGTGGAGTACGGAGGGTGAGCATGCTTGTACCATGTGTAATATAAAAACTCAGTCTTGTTGGTTGAAGCATTGTAGAAAGTATTCTTATATGGGTCATCATCGGTGGTTCCCTGCTACACACAGATTTTGAAAGTATAAAGAACTGTTTGATGGTACACGAGAATATGGAGCCAAGCCACCTACATTGTTTGGAACCAATCTGTTGCAACAATTAGAATCAGAACACATCTTGACCGAATACAAGAAGGAGGATCTTATGGAAATGAAAATTAAAGAATCAAATAAGGAAAAGGTGGGTCGGTAAAACATAGTTGGAAGAAAAAGAGTATTTTCTTTGAGCTGCCATATTGGGAGCATAATTTAATCAGACACAACCTTGATGTAATGAATATGGAGAAGAATTTTTGTGATAATCTTTTGTGGACAATATTAGGAGTTATGGGAAAATCTAAGGACAATCTTTAATGCACGACACGATCTACAAGAAATTGATATTAGAAAACCATTACACCTACAATCAGGAGGTTCTCACAAAGAGTACTTAGCTCTTTCACAATTTACAATGAGTAAGGATGAAAAATATTGCAAAGTTTTAAAGAGTGTTAAGAGTGCCAGAAAGGTATGCATCTAATATCTCACAACATGTAAATTTGGATGATCAAAGCATCGGAGGACTTAAGAGTCATGACAATCATATTTTGATGCAACAACGTATTCCTCTGCCTATACAAAAATCATTGCCTAAGAATGTGGTTCATTCCATTATTGTATTGAGTACTTGCTACTAATTATTTTTGGATTGCACACTATGACCATTTGTATAAAACATGATTTATTGGAGCCTTGGTGTTTCACCATATGTATCAATTAAATTCATGATATATTTTCATTCCCACACGAGTTACCAAAAGTGAAACAATAATTTGATGTTATGAATATTTTATATAGATTTGCACGGATAAAAATAATAAGGGACAGAGGGCACATGACGCACTTAGTCTACAGGTATATGTTTATTTTGTTTACAATAAAACGTGTGTAAATTAATGTGAAGTATACATTAAATGATGTAAATAGTGACGATTGTAATAATTCTTTGTTGAAGAATTATGCATATTGTTGTAGGTTGGAACAAAAGTGCATTTGTTAAGTTCCAAAGGTCCAAAATGCAAGTTGGCAGAGGGTATTGTCGTTAGAATGGACCCATCGGCACAAGTGGATGGACTATCATTGGGATCAAATTTTTGGAAAGTATTTGTTAAAAAAGCAATTGACACTACGACGTGTTTGATGAGACCACATAAAGGCATCAAAACAATCGGGGATGCTGTTCAATGAAATGTTACTTGGCCATCTTTTAATGTATGTTCGACTTCTTTTAATTCTTTACATACATAAATTCATATTCTTTTAATTCTCTCAAGATATTATTTGCAATGACACAAGACCTATCGCTAACACACGTTCCTGCGCGCACCAAAAAAAGATATTATTTGCGACGACACCAGGCCTATCACAAATGTATATTCTCGCGCGTGCCAAAAAATGTTATTTGCGACAGCTAATAAACCGTTGTAAATACTACACAAAAAAATGTACCTTTTGAGATGAAGTTTTTGGCTACCTCAATTAATTTTTGAGGCAACTATTTGCCACCATAAATACTTTTTGTGGCCCCATTTTATACGGCTGTTCAATGCCGCTACAAAAAGTATTTAAGGTGGCAAATAATAATTTTTGCAGCAGCACTATGCCATCTCAAATAGTGTCTTTTTTGTAGTGAACCTTATAAACCTAAGCTCTAATACTAAAATGTCACACCCTATCCTAGATATAGAACATATGAACTAATCCAGGAGGGTGAACCCCACTTAACAATCAATAACTTGTCATTCTACACATGGTATAAAACATTCCATAACTTAATAAGTAGCCCAAACATAATCACATACATATGTAATCCATATACAAAGAGTTCAAGTCCACATTTACATGGAGCTTCACATAATCCTTAACCAAATGCTGAAGCTCGAAGCTCAGCAACT